CTACTTGTGATCTCTCTATCAGACAAATAAATAAAATCTTTAAAAAAATACTCCATTCATATTAAATTCATATTTAAGTATTTTCACCCCCTTCCAATTCGGGAGCTCAAAGTTATTACATCCCAAGATGTAACTGGGTAAGGAAAATAACCGTTTCCCCCTTATTTGGTTTTTATGGCACGAGTGGAGTTTTTATAAGGTTTTTGAAAGAGAAGATAGGTCAGCAGGATTGGGAGGAAAAGGAATGTCAAATAAAGAAGTGTGTAGTTCACCGTGCAAGAAGCAGAGCAAAAGAGCGGCTTGATGGCCGGCCAGAGCAGATGGAAGGGAATTCGAGAGCTGCCTGTCTGAATGAGAAAGCCCACTAAAAATTCATATGCATTTTTGTCCATTTAGCTTTTTGGTTAAATATTGAGCCGATTCTCCCTGGCATTTGAATTCCTCCTGATTTTTCAGGTGGATATTAACTCCAGGCCTGCTAAATTACATGCCCATGATGAAATGATTCCATGAATCAAAATAGTGGTGGGACATTTTGCCTAATGGGAGTCTGTATTAGGAAGTCTCGATCTTAGATGACTTTACCAGGTTTCCTTACCACAGAGATGTGATTTAAAAAATTAAAAATGTAGGGATGCCTGGATGGCTCAGTTGGTTAAGTGTCTTCCTTCAGCTTAGGTCGTGATCCCAGGGCCCTGGGATTGAGTCCTGCATGGGGCTCCTTGCCCCTCGGGGAGTCTGCTTCTCCCTCTGCCTGCTGCTCCCCTTGCTTGCCTCCCCTTCTCTCTATCTCTCTGACAAAATCTTAAAAAAAAAAAAAAATTAAAATTTAAACAAATCAATGAGTATTCATTGAGAACCCACTGTGTGCAGAAATACTTCAGTGGAAACCTGGGTGCATTGGAAAAAAGTGTGAGGCACTCACCCCAAAGAGGCAGGCAAGGTGGAAATCCATGAGGTAGTTAGAATGTTGATGGCTATGCAGGAGCTGTTACAGATCAGTGTGTGGTCAATTGTCATGTAGGTGGTAATACTGCTAAGGGAGTTTTATGATGTTTAAAAATCTGGTCCCTAGTTAGTTTTATATTTTGATTTCATATGGATTTGGGTACCATGTAGAAGCATTTAATATCAGAGAGATCTTTTATGGTGTTTTTGCTTTTCAACTTCTAGAAACAATCTGGTATAGTAGGAAGGATATGAGCTTCTGAGCCAGAAGAGCTGTATTTGAGCCCTTTTCTCTAGCATTTACTGGTGTGCGATCTTGGACAGTTTAATTTAATTTTCTCAGCTGTCAAGTGGGGATAAGGTAATCACTTCTCAGTCCCACCCAACCTGATACTTTCTCAAGTGATTAATAAATGTTTGCTTATTAAATCAATAAATCAATATTTTTGTATCATTTATTTCTGAGTACATTGAACTATGGATATTTACTAATTCATGGCCATGCCACACTGTGGCTTCTCTTAATGGCTTTCCGTGTTTATTCACAAAAATTGTTTCCCGCATATCCATCTTTTAAAGTAGTAAGTGGTCTTAAGAACAGCATATATAATAGAAGTATAATTCAGGGCACATATGCAATTTTAAGTTTTTTAGTAGCCACATTAAACAGAGCTTTAACACATCTGAAAGTAATTTTGACAAAGTATTTTACCTAGTTCAGTATATCTAAAATATTATTTCAACATGTAATCAGCATAAAATTATTGATAAGTATTTATCAATAATTAAATAATTAAACAAATCCAGTGTTTGGGGCACCTGGGTGGCTCAGTGGGTTAAGCCTCTGCCTTTGGCTCAGGTCATGATCTCAGGGTCCTGGGATCGAGCCCCGCATCAGGCTCTCTGTTCAGTGGGGAGCCTGCTTCCCCCTCTCTCTCTGACTGCCTCCTTGCCTACTTGTGATCTCTCTCTCTCTCAAATAAATACATAAAATCTTAAAAAAATAAAATAAAATCCAGTATTTGTCTTACAACACCAGCACATCTACATTTGGACACCAAATGGGTCAAAATATTTTATTTCTATTTAGATTTCATAAAATTGATAATTAAGTAGTTTCATCTATGCAGTTCTTCCAAACATAACTAAATTTTTTCCTGACAACTGAACAAAGCATCAGGTTTTAAATTTTAATTTAAACAAATTAAAATTAAAATTGAGTAACTCTGTTACTCTGGTCAGTTTCAGGGCTTAATAGCTCTCTGTGGCTAGCATGAAATAGCACAGACAAGAAATTGTCTTGAATTATTTTTCAGTAAGATCTTGGACTTCCAGGCATTTCATCATTTCATAATATAAAATAAAGATACTTCTAAACCTGGATTTCATTTTGGGAGTTGCCTTATACTGACTGTGCTTAGTGGTAACTTCTGACATCCAGCTTGTCATTCTGTCTGCTAGATTTATGAGATCTTCTTTGAATGAAACTTTTTAGATTAGCCTAATGAAAGTTTAGTTAATTCAAAAATGCTGCAGGATTGTTGTCTTGTCCTAGCATAAGTCTGAATTTATCCCATTTGCAAATGAATCGTCCGAGTCTCTGGCTGTGTGACTTCCCCAAGGACCTGGGGCTAGCTAGTTGTGTGGGGGAGTCAGCCCTTAAACACAGACTTAAGGATCCATACTGGCACGGAATCTATATTTTGCTTCATTTAGGTGCAGGTGGGTTCCTGGTACCCTACTCTGGACACAACATCTTACCTGAAGGAGGACCCTTCACTGGGTCATATTTTTTGATTCTCTGAAGTATCAATAACCCAAAATGCAAAGAGAACATCTGCATTGTCTCAGAATCTTCCTTGGGAAGAGCAGGGTTATGGAAAGGAAGGTGATGGGGAAAGAAAATTCCTTCGCAATAAAAAACTATGTGTTTCTCCCCACTCCAATGCACTAGTAAAGGCAAATTTAACTTGGCAGGAAAACAATTATAGCCCCCAAAATAGTGGTGTTCTTACTCCATACGTTTCTGTGTATACTTTTCACTTTTGGAAATTTCTCTTTACTTCTGAGTAAAACCAGTATAGATGATTCATAAGCACTGAATGGAAATGGCCTTGGGATATTTACCTGCATGGGTCCCTAACACTCAAGGTAGCCTGTTCTTAGACATTGTTGGATTCTATATGCTTTCTTAATGAGTGGCCCAAAAGGCTTTAGGCTAATTTCCTGAGCTCTTGGCATTAACCCTGTCAGTAGATATTACACATCTTCTAGAAAAGGTCAATGTCTTCAGTCAAAACTTCAAATTCAGAAATCTTGATTTAAAGGATTCTCTGATGCAAATAGTTATTTACTCTCATTCTGACTGTACTTCCCTGAACTCTGGTCACTTCGTCAATCAGAATTGGATTCCCATGGTCAGGTTTATTTTATTAGGTATTTAGCTATTTGGGATGAAAATATAATCTTTCAGAATTTTTCACCCTTTGTTGACATCGTGTCCTCTAGCACACACGCCCCCCCGCCGCCTTTTTTTTTTTTTTAAATTCTGGGCAACCATTCAGAAATGTCTTTAAGAACTACTAATGGATTCCATCCAGGTTTACTCTAAAATGAATGGCATTGCCTAGCCTTTGTTGGCATAGTCATTAATTGTGTGAGTACTTTTAAGAAATTTTGCCTCCATCACTTGATTTTACCCTTTGATTTTCTACATGCCATTTGCTTGAGTTGTGTACAAATAAAATTTAGAGGAGAATTTGTGGTAGTCTGTGTATAAAGTACTTAGGTTTGGGATTGACATCTATTTGGGGCAGAATAGAGGAACCTTTGATGCTGTTTTAAGGTAAGCAACAAATTAAGGACAGAATAAGCAAACCCTAAGATTTTTAGGTTTACTTCCTGATGCTTCATTACACTGGAAGTCTGCAAGTTTGAGGTTACCGGCTTGACAGCTCTGTTCAAACGGTAACGATTTCAGACTTTCCTCTGCATTCCCTGTCTAGAGAGACAGTTGCAAGGATGCTCAATTATCATTCATTATTACATATTCCCAGAGGCCATCGTAGCTTCTGAACCTGGCCGTACATCAGAATCGCTCTAGCCTCAGCAGAGGATGAGATGCTCTCCATCTCTTTGAGGCCCTGGAGTCTGTACTTTTTATAGAGCTCTCCAGCACTGGGTCATTTCTGGGCTTTTTCAGGCCCCCTCCCCCCAAAATAAATGAGTGAAATTTAAGAAATCAGATCAATACCATAGACCTCCAGAATCATAGAACTTAAAGACCGTAGGCAAGGGAGAGATGCAGGTAGGGAATATAATTGTAGAACAAGGGAATGTTTATAAGGTGATTGAAGGAAATGACGAGAGAAACTTTTTGGAGCAGAAACATTTGGAGTACCTAAGAACATGTAACATGTTAATTCTTTCACTTCTCATCCGTGTAGAATCCCTTCCGCTTCTCCTCCCCAAGGCTGGGTTTAAGTCCACCTGGTAACTTACACCACGGGTGATGCATGGAAGCTTAAGAGAGCCTCCATGCAGGTTCAGATGATCTGTACCTAATGAGCATCGCACACCTGTTGGGAGAACGCTGTTTTCATGGTGGCTTGCTTCCAGAGGCACCCTGTGCCAAGACAAACCAGTATTTTCCTAGAGGTCTTCCTGGTAAACATTTTCAGTCTGCATGTGTTTGCAGCATATGTCTTGAGGCAATGACACACTTGGCAAACCCCGCCTACTACTAGATGCCTCCTTGATAGCCAGGCACAATGACACATTGTCTTTTAGGAGCTCTCCCATCTTATTATGGTTTCTACACGAAAGGGGCAAGGCTGCAGGTGGTGTTTGCTTAAGTTGTGCTTAATTCTGCTGTGGTACTTGATTCCTACCTTAAGACGACCTTTGAGGTTCTTTGTCTCTGAAAGATTTATTAATACAGATGCATGAATATATTCTGTACTATGTTATGTCATGGAAAAAGAGTGAAGAGAGAATCCTTTTGGCACTGGCATCTTTTGTTAGCGGTCATATTTCTGTGATAATACCTTAACAATTTATTTGCTAAATTTCTAGAAAGAGTAATGTGCAGGTTACTATGCATATGAAATGGAACCACTTGATTACTGAAATGTTTCATTAAAGATATCGCAAACTAGTTCTAAAAGCTCAATGAGAAATATTGGATTGATAAGCAATGATAAAAAAAAAAGCAAGAGTCATCATCAGCTTAAGTGTTTTTTTTTTATCACTTCAAGGTTTTGAATGAAATAGTGTTTAATATAATAATTTTAAAAGCTGGCTTTTTCTTTAAGCTGGAAAAAACTCTCGGCTGGTGTCTAAAGGATATTTCTTGCTTCCCATAATCTGGTAGTATGGATTGACATTAACATTACAGAAGGTGAATAGACTGCTAGGATACATTTAATGAGAGTGGTTATATGATCTAACCTTCATGCTAATAAAGTAGCTATCAGTAGGACAGTCGCCCAAGAACAGTCTTTCCTGAAACAGTGAGGTCAATGAAACACACCCAGAAACTTCGTTGCAACTTCGAAGCTTGTGATCAGGTTTGGACTTTCATTTGCCCTTAAAAATATTTGTGGTAATGCCACCAGGCCACCAAGAAGCAGAGAGGAAATTTTTATGAATATTAGATTAACTGTTAAAGTAATAATTTAATTTAGATTTGAGTGTTATTATGGAGCTATCAATTAAACATACCAGTAATCCAGTTGATGTTATTTATTAAATTTAGATTATATTAATATAGTTTAAAATGCATGACATTTATTTAGCCTCATCAGGGAACGAGTGATCTCCGAGTAAACTTCTCCCAGCCATGAAGCTTAATCCTTGAAGTGTCAAAACATTTTAACTTAATAATTTTGAACAGAATGCTTTCTATTAATTACCTTAGTGTTTTCTATATTATGTCTGTGACTATAGGATGCTAATATAGTTTAACCCTGTCTAGATGAATTCAGATCATTAGCAAATGTATTGATTAGTAAAGATTCTATAATATATGGCTACCTTTGGAACTCTTGAAATGTTAAGAGTCAACTCTTTTTATGCTAAATTATCTTTCATTTCCTATCCTTCAATATTTTTGTGTCTGCTTTTTGTTGTTCCCGATTTTTCAGTTACTATCAGCCATCAGCTGACCGCTATCACTTACTCAACTGTCAGTGGACTTTAGGCGTCTTCACCCACCCATAATTGCTTTTAATCTAACATAACTTGAGGAGGAAATTAGGGTGTTAGAGTAATGTCCACCATAGGAGACATGTCCTCCGAGTGGAGACGGATGAGGTGAGATGGGAACTCTTAGCACAAAAAACTCTGAGCTTTAACAGGAGGACTTCATGCCATCTGTTTAGACTATAAGATGCCTTTGATTATTCATTGGTTCAACTTTTACTAGACCCTAGGGGCCCAAAGATGAGAACAATGTTGTTTATGCCCTAAGGGTGCTCCCCCAAACCAGTACATGCCTGGCTCTCGCAGAGGAGCAAGTAGACCACGGAGGGCAGCAAATAAGGATGTAATCTTTGGAGTTCAGCTGGGTTTTGAATAAGTGAAATTTCTGGATAAAAAAAAAAAAAATTATTTGAGGGCTGCTCTTAAATGTATGCAAAGGCAAATATGCTGCTTAGAAGTTCCAGTTCAGTGCATGCGTGCGTGTGTGTGTGTGTGTGTGTGTGTGTACATACATGCCGCATCTTCTTTATCCATTCATCAGTTGATGGACTTTTGGGCTCTCTCCATAGTTTAGCTGTCTTGCTATTGGCAATGGTGTGGATGGAGCTAGAGTGTATTATGTTAATAAAATAAGTCAGTCAGAGAAAAACAAATATCATATGATCTCACTCATATGTAGAATTTAAGAAAGAAAACAGATGAACATATGGGAAAGGGAAAAAGAGAAAAAGGAGAGGGAAAAACAAGCCATAAGAGACCTTAAGTTGAAAGAACAAACTGAGGGTTGGTGGAGGAAGGTCGGTGGGGGATGGGCTGGATGGGAGATGGGGATTACAGAGGGCACTTGTGAGCACTGGGTGTTGTATGTAGGTGATGAATCACGGAATTCTCCTCCAGACACCAATATTCCACTGTATATTAACTAACAAAATTTAAATTCATAAAAAAAAGAGGAAAAAATTAGAACAAAAGGACGACGTTCCAATTCATATTAAGGGAAGTACTAGAATAAAAATTAAGTGCAGTGACCCTAGGAGTCTGACAAACCTGCATCTGAATGACCTTGGGCAATCTGATTTTGATTCCTTTCCACCACCTCTAAGAGGGAGTTGTAATGCCTACATTTTCAGGTTGCTGTGAGGACTGTGTCAAAGGGTATGTGAAAAGGGCCTAGCAGAGTACTTGAATCCAGTTCAGTGCCCCATTAATATTCTCTTTTCTGCCTTTTCTTCACCCCACTTCCCTTTGATGTTGTTTGGTAAGGGGCGTCTGTAAAAAGAGTGAGAAATAAAATGACAAATACTTCTTTTCATATTCCTATGAGGCTGCCTGAAGTCATGTTCTTTTAATTGAATGACAGTCACATCATTTGGAAGGCTGGTCTAATAATAGCACCAGAGATTGGAAGCTGACAAAGTGCAAATTTTCAGTCAAGTCTTGATTCCAGTTTAGATGTGAAAAGAAGAGACTTGAAAAAGAATCCTTGTTGCTGAAAACACAGATACCTCCATAGGCTCACTCTTGGATTAGAATTGTGTGGACCCCTTTTAGTAAAACATAAACCAAATGCCGCATGTGCCCAGCAGCCAACTATTTAAAAAAGGTTAGAAAGCCCGAATGTGTGAGACTCAGTGGTGCCTTGGGGCATCTTTGCTGGCGGCTTCGCTCACCTGAAGTGTTCAAGTGGGTCATTTGGACGTGTTTCTCCTTCCTGTGAAAGGCTTCCCCATCAGGCAATTCCCCATACTGTGCTGTTTTGTAATCCCAACCTCTATCGCTAAAGAAAGCCTTCGGTGACCCTGAGTAAATCAAGAATAGAAAATTCCTTGGGTTTCATGCTCTTCGCTGTGTTAGTGAAGACGTAGATTTTCATTGACCCTCACAGAAATCAGTCTGTCTGAAATAATGCCCACCGACGGATCAATGAGTTACACTTTTGTTTTTAAGTAACTTTGCAGTTTTCTTTCTCAGTCTTTTCACTGGTCTAAACCTGCTTTCTTTTGGGGGTGAGATACTTAATGTTCACCAATAAATAGTGGTTCCTTCTTGGTCTTATAAATGAAGCTTTTTTAACCAGTTGATTTAGGCTGTGCTTTTAAAATATTAGAACTTCGGATTTAAAAGCAATCACTTTTCTTTACTAGTTGTATCAACAGATGTTCGGTGTTTCGTTTTTCCTTAAGGGGGGAAGGTTTCTCACTGACTCTTGGCTTCACATGGGGATTCTCTGCTATTGGTTTTGTCTGTAAGAATTTAAGCTGTTTAAAGCTGTTTGTACTTGTGGCCAAGAGCTCCTAGTTCCCAAAGCAACGGTTTATCACCCACCCCGTGTTATCTCTGCTCTTACATTTCTTCAATCACAGAACACAACAGCACAAGCGAGCTAGATCCGTGGGTAGCGCGTGCGTTCGGTATGCAAGGACTGTTTATGGCGAGCCGTGTGGGTCGGGCTCATGTTCCTGGAGTGCTTTGAGCAGCTTTACTAATCTGTCAGCATAGTATGTTCTCGTGGATAAATATAGACATACGGGCACTCTGTAAGTTGTAGGTCACTGTCTTACTGTGCAGCTAAAAATTGTCCCACTGGTATGAAGAGTCTGCCCTGGACGGAAGGCCTGTTTTAGTTTGTCTTCTACTGTAGGTCTTTAGCACCTGACTAAAAATACACCTTGGCCAAAATAAGAGAGCCCTACCTTGTGGCTGAGACACTTATGGTGCCAGGGAGCAACGGAATCATGGAGTCCGTCATTATGTTTTTTTGCTTTGGAACATAGTCTGTGTAGCAGTTCCAGACTGTTCGTTTGGGTTCCTTTTCAGGCTCATGGAGATTACAACAGCCTGTTGGAGACGATCCTGTGTGATCAGCTTCATAAAAGGGCTTGGTAGGTATGAAAGACTGGGGACATGTATGGCGTGGATCATTGGTTGTTAAATGCTGAATGTAGGGAAGATTCTCCTAAAGGTTTCAATGGATGGGGGTGGGGGGGTTGCTAATTACATCTGCATGTGGGGATTTACTTACAATGTCACCGTTCAGAGGCAGGAATAATGCTTTTTAAGTTTCTGTTTTGAATTGTGGTATTTCAGAGGTGATTTTTGTATATAAGTCTATGGGACAACAGGCTGTGATGTCATGGGATTTTTCTGTACGCTGAAGTTTCACTAAAAGATTCAGTACAACTATCCGTGCTGCAAAATTGCCATCTGTAAAAGTAGCTTAGTGTGTATTTGGAAAATAGGTAATACCATTACATTTTATATTACAGCAGAAGTAGGATTTATGCTTGATTTCTTCTAAATATTAATGTAAATACTCAATTATTTTGTTTAATGCATTGAAATAAGCCTGAGGCAGTTTTCCCCTTTGCTTTTGGCTTAGCCTTCTTTAACACATACAAATACAATGTTTTCTTTTATTGATTCTGAATTAAAAAAACAGGATATTATGGGTTAACCAACATTAAATGGGTCCAAGCTGCATGCCTCTGCTTTTCCTTTATCAGAGTAATAGTCTGGTTACATTAGTTCTAGCATAACCTTGTAAGCAATATTGTACAAGAGTTCAGAAAAATTAATGAGAGGAGACTTCCATGACACAGGGTTAATTACATGCATCTTGGATATTGACCGTTTAACTTTCTATTTAATGAAGGTAGGAAAAGTTCATTTGTAAATGGTAAAGGCACAACATATTGCTCTGATAGAGAAGAAACATTTTGTTTATTAATGATTTGGGAGATTTAATTACTTGTTAATTATTCTTCTGCACTATCTCTAATGAAACTATTAGATATTTGCATACGATACCATTCTGTTTCTGGGAATGAAATCTCTATTAGTCATTAATTTATTCCTTACTCTGT